ATCAGCTTTAGCTAAAAGCACCCAAAAGCCCCATTGAAGCACCCGATCTACACAGACATTGCAGAGCCAGTAGAGCATGTTTTATTTTTTTCTACATCTGTCAGTGCCCCTAGATCAGGAGTACGCAACCTTTTCCAACGAGTGGCCGGAATGACCCACCCTGGATCAGAGGCCTGCTCCCTGCAAGTATTTTCGCAGCATTTGACAAAGCAAGCTGTAGCTTATGAAAGCTTATGCAGCTCTGAATTAGTCTGTAACATTCAACTCTACCCTACCTTCTGCCTGACTTCAAACTAATATGGTTAATCACCTCCCCCAAACAAGAGAGTAGTCTTAATCTTAACACCAATTTTAAAGCTGCTTTCAACAAGCATATCTGTAGCTTATGAACTGCATTAGTTGGAGTACAAATAATTATGCTCTCTTGCTATTCCCATTCTACACTGGCTGCTATTTATATCTAAGCAATAGATATCTACTTGTTGCTTTGGATAATTTTTTCCTAACATTGCCCATCCCCTTCCTTTTCAAGTACTTACTTTTTCTTTGCAAGTGCTCATTTGTATCTATAACTTTTAACACTCTCTCTCTCTCTGAAGTGAATTGTCCTGGAAGTGAATTGTCCTGGCATTAGATTTATCAAGGGAAGAGGGTAGGTAAGGTGACTACTGGAGCCTATCACAAAATTGCAGGTTCCACCACTTCTAGTGATACATTTTTTCATAGCTGCCATTCTTCACATAGGAACTGTCAAACCAATAATGAGAGCCACAGGTCTATTCCTCTTTTTTTCCTTAAGCCATTAGCTTCAGGCATTAACAGTAAGCAAGATTTGAATAATACTAACTCAGCCTTTAGCACGGGACTGAACTAGATGACCTTATGAGGTCCCTTTCAGCCCTACTTTCCTATGATCCTATGAATAGAGAGGAATGTGAGGCTGGAAGTTTGAGATGCTGAATATATTAGGAGCAAAACAAGTAGTACTACAATGACAGTTCTTTGCTGAAATAAGTAAGATACTGAAAAAGGAGCGCCATCAGACATTAATAAGCAAGAAGAGGAATAAGTAAATGCAACTCTTTTGTTTGTTCGGAAAACATATGTTCAGAAAACAAGTTATGGCACGCTGCTTCCCTAACTATTAGAAGTCCTGTGATAAATAACCTGCAGTCAACAAGACTACATTATTTACAGTTTTCCCCTGAAGAATAGCATCTCTAATCCAATTACTCAATAATAGTTTCATAATTAAGCAAAACATCATTTAAGACTTCAAAACAATGCATCCCTCTGCAAATGGAAACAAAAATAATGAAACTAGTACTCGACCATGCAGCAAATGGCTGTATTTTGCAAGACTGTAACGGGGGGGTGCGAGAAGAAGCTCTATCCTTCTGATTCAAAAAAGCATGCACACATCCTCTATTCTGGAACAGTTCCATGAATAGCTATAAATACAATTATGGTTTGTTTGCTAATATGTCTGTTTGAGAGGATCAAGAATTAGGGTCAAGGAATTTCATTTCCACAATTTCAGGTCAAGATAACTGACAAGACCACGACTACAACACATCAACTAATAAACCCTACTCTAATCTCAATTTTGACCAGAATTAAATCACCTCCCTAAGTGGCATCCTGGGTCACCTTACTCCCAGGTGAGGGATGAATGATTTGCAGTACACTGTTAAGTTTACAAACTTACGAGCAGTAAGACAAAATTAATTGTGCTCAGTCATCACAACCTATGTGGATCCTTCTACTATAAATGTTGAATTCAAAGGCCTTCTAGAGGCCAGCAGTAGTTCTCTCCAAACTGCTAAGGCCATTTATGTGATGGACAACTAAAATGAGAAAGATAACATAGAAAGCATAGAGTGATTTGGGGCCATTTTAGTCTTCCAACTCAGTGTCTTTTGTCAGCCTTTTTAATTTTAATAGTACAAAGTGCAGTAACATCAGACACAAAGGGAGGAAGGCAGATTTGGGTCTAAAAATCAAACCAAGATTTACCTTCCAGTTGGAACGAGAAAACACTGCAGCCTTAAAATGCTGCAGCTCCTACCTGATGTTAAAGCTGTGGCCCACTAGGAGTGGACAGAGACAAGTAGATGAAACAGAGATGTAATGAAACAGAGATATGCAATACCGAGAATACTGTATTTAATGCTGTTATTAAAACAGTAATTTCTGCAGTGTAGGCAGTTGTTCAAGAGCCTGCCATGAAGATTACTCCAATAGCAATAAATAGAAATATAATGATTCAAAAACCGAATTGTAAGTTTCTGGAGTTGGTTGAGTAGAAAAAAAGTTGTAGTTTTGTCTGTACCATGATAATTCTCACACCAAAAGAGGTGCTGCTAATACAGGCAGGGAGCATTCTCCAGAGTACTTGTGCTCAAATCAAATATTTGATTCTGCACCTTAAAACATTCATGCTACAGTAGAAGGAGGGGAAAGGTATTACTCTTGAAAACGGAGTGCAATCATGAGCTAGTACACCAGCTGGAAGTGCAACAGAACTATTACAAGCTTGGTAATCCTTCCACAGCTGCTACCTCCCTTTTCTCCCATTAGAAAAAAAAATGTAAAGAGCCAAATAGAGGAAGTGGACTTCAGGAGGAGAAAAAAAATACCTCTAAGAAAATGAAGCATCAGTTAGCTAATACTAAGGATCACTATATCCCAAGTTCCAAGAAAAAATTGCAGTAAAGCTATGAGAGAATAATCAATGAGCCTATTGATCTAGGTGCCTAGACATTAGATTAACAGTTTATTAAACCCATCAGCATCATTGTAACAGAATCCCACACCTAGCACTGATATGTTTGGTTTAGGCTGCCAAACCCTGGGGTCTTCTGCACTGAACAGCTACATGCTCACCTACAGCTCAAACAGGAAGCCTTCTTCCCAATGGCTAAATTATTATTCCATCACTTTTTACACAGGCTTCTCCCTCAGCATCACACTGTGGCACAGCAGATTTCAGCAAGCCATGTGCCTTCCAGTATGCAGCACAACCTCTCCCTCCCAATTTGCAGCGCTCTTGATGGGGAAACGCATTCATTTTGCCATGGGCAACATTTCCAGGCGAGGAGCGAGGAGGGTAGTGGACGTCACGCACGGAGACGCTTTGACGGAAGGCGCTGTTCACATGGCACTTGGCACTGCACTCTTTGTATCCCCTTTCAAATACCCACCTGCAGTGTGGTCAACCGATACAGCTGGGCGCCTCGGATCCTTTTGCTTCACCTGCCTAGTGAGCATGCCCCCTCTGCACTGCTCCACCTCTCCCCGCCTCCCCCCAGGGGTTTGATTACAGCAGTGACACACAAAGGGCTTTTCAGACACTCCGAAACAAATCCACCAGGCAAACAAAAGCAAAAAACCTCCCAGCTCAGCCACTCTCTCCTGCACACACTCACCCTCACTCTCTCTCTCACACACTCAGTCACTTACACTCACTCTCACACACTGACTCACCCTCACTCTCTCTCTCACACACTCAGTCACTTACACTCACTCTCACACACTGTCACACAGGCGCACACACTCACTGTCACTCCCACTCACTCAAACATTCACTGTCACACACAGTCACTCACAGATGCACGCACACTCCATCACTGACTGTCACTTATGCACACTCACTGTCACTCGCACACACACTCTGTCATTCACACTCACTGTCATACACTCACTCAGAGTTACACACATGCGCACACACACTTTCTCACTCAAGCATGCACAATCTCTGTCACACACTGTCACTTACACTCACTCATACACACACAGTCAGGCGCACAGATGCACGCACACACACACTCCATCACTCACCTCACTATCACACACTCAGTCACACTCATGGCCGCACACACGCTTGGTCAGTGTCACGCATAGTCACACGCGTCTGCGCGCGCGCACACACACACACACACACACACACACACACGCTGTCACTCACACACATGCAGGCTCCCCCTCCCCCAGACACCAGCAGCCCCGCCAGCCCCGTGGCCTGCAGCAGCAGCAGCAGCAGCAGCACCTCTCCGGGGGCCAAGCCGCCTTCTCAGCCCGCCGAGCCGGTGCTGCCCCAACCCCCGCCAT